AAAATTTACCGCCCTAGAAACATGGTTAGCGAGAAAGCCCGTTGAGCAAGCGGGCGCAGCGCAATTGCAGTCGCAACGATCAAAACAATAAAACAGGGTACAAACATAACAATCCACAACCTCTTCAGTCGCATCCAGAATCAAGCAAAGTATCGCCAAAAGCATCGTTAAATCCAGTCGCTGTTGCTGTCGTCCAACTTACTCCTGCATTACCGACCTCCACCTCTTGCACAGGCGTAGCTGCAATCACGGCGGCCCAATCGATGGTGCGCCAATCAGTGAGCTCTTGATCCTTAATAGTATTTTGTAGAGGCCCAGGAGGACTGACAGCGTTTCCCATGTTGGGCGACGGTATGTCAAGATAAGGCTCGAGTCTGCGAACGAAGCGTCAAATATAAGCGAGGGATCGAAGGGGCTTAATGTGGGTGTAGTGATCTAACCTGAGATAAATGATCTTATTCCATAAATGGCGGACAGATTCATCAAGCTTGTAGTGGACCCACCCACAGGCGCTCAATCGTTCGAGGAGCGCCTCTGCAGAGTCGACGTTGAACTCGGAGCATGCTAGTGAGGACTGATGAACAAACCAGGCACTCTCTGCCGAGCATTCAGCTGAGATGGAACCGATAGTCATGATCCAGAGGAGCAGATCTGGACATGGTTGCCACTCTGCACGAGTAGTGCAGTTGAGCGCACTCTCGAGCCGCTTGCTGGCGACGAAGTGTAAGAGGTGGGCGTCTGACGGTCGTTTGAGCGCTTCGGTAGTTCGTACCGTAAAGATGATCAATGCGACGCAGAGAGCGTCTTCGATAGGCGTAATGAGGGGTTCCCTTTCATGGATCCAAGCGAGAAGTAAGCACTCGAGCGAACAGGAGAAGTTCTGAACATCCAGAGCGTCAAGCGGGCTCTCTGGATCATCGTAACATGCGTTCAGGTCGGCGGCGAGTATTATAACAGATTCCAGCAACTCAGTAAGAGATTCTGTAAGACCTGCATGCTGGCACAAGGCGACAAGATGCTGCGAATAGTTCGGGCTATAGCCTCGTGGATGATGAGGAAAGTTCGCTGCGCGGATGTATGCCAAAGTCGCGGGGTAAGGTGCGTTGAACTGGGCGATGGCGTGAGCTGTAGTATGCCTGATGCTCAGTCAGCATTTGCCAACCTGTTTTGGGCTATGATGCCAAACTCAGGTGTTACATACCAAAGTATAAAAGCTTGTAAGATGCGGTTGGTACCGACAGCTTTTAAGCCGCCGCGCAGATTCAGCATTTCTCGCAGACCGTTTAGATGCATGTTCATAGCATTTGGCTGTTCGTCGTACGGTATCTCATCTTTGAAATGAGGCATCATTAGACCTTCTTCCACGGTCAAGAGATTGAACACAGCACCGAGAGTTGCATCCGAGAAGCGAACAGCATGATCCTGCGCCGATAAAGCCTTATTGACCGCTGAGATGGCCTTCGCGCGATGGTCAAGGATCGTTTTCACGGTACCTTTCCCAAATATGAACATGTGCAATGCAGCTGTACTCAGCAAGCTGTGCATAAAGCCTTTGTTACTCAGGGCGGTATCGAACCATTCTGATTTCATCAAGGTTGACTTGCGCCGAATGTCAACTCCGATCACACCAGGAACCATCTCGTGGACAACTACATGATTATGGTCAGCACGCATCGACCATAAAGATTAAAAAACTCGGTGCGAGGGTTCTTTGGCTCTAGTTTGAGCCTGTCCAAACTCTGCTGTTGCATGGTGTGCTGGATGATAGGCCTTGCGGACTCGACGCTCTTCACCATCTTCTTTAATGACTATGGAAAGTAGACTTACAATGGTCAAGCAGCTCTGACGTTCCCTTGTCTAATCTGAGAGCCGATGCTCCAAAAGGATCAATAGTACCGTTGTTAGGCTCTCCTGCAGTGCTAGTGGGGCAGAGTAAGATGCATTTCGGGCATAGCATCTGCCCGTGGCGGACGACAAAGATCTTACAATTGGAACATATAGCTCGCTCGAACACGCCAGCACTCGTCTGATCGAGGGCCGGAAAATAGCCGGATTGACTGGAGTCAAAAGTAGGACTTGATGATGCTGTACCTGGTGTCGACAGCGAGGTGGGCGTGCCAGCACTTCGAGGACTTGCACTACCTTGAGCTCGTTGCTTTGCAGCTTGCTTGCTCGTGGACCATGGTTTCTCTCTCCTTGCCTTCTGCATAACGAACGAGCGAGCATTGCGCCGTCCTTGACGTGAAGCCTTTGCTTCGGATGCATCAACGAACAGGAACGCTTGTTGGATGGGCACGGTTGGCTGAGAGCGTTTCAAAGCCTTGGCATTTGGATCCTGGCCCTCCATTACACGTTCCGGGAATCAGGATTAGCAAGTATGGTTTTGCTGACCCGATCTCTTGGGTGGTGGAGGTAGTGTTGCTCAGCAGGGCGCAGGAAAGCGTAAGATGCAAGCGGTAACGAAGCCAAGATCTCGCAATCCAGTCCCGCTCGCCACCATCATCGATTGAATGCTCCTTGATTGGCTTCAGGCTGCGATCGCCTCGTACTGACGGTCTGCCTGGGAATTCTGGAGGGGCTGAAGTTGTACAACTATCAAACTCCAGATTAGTGTTAGACTGCTGAAACCAGCACGGAGCTGACAGGGTTGGTGCCGACTTGGACCCTTTGTATCGTCAGTATTCATCCGTAGTCGTACCCAAGGGTCTTCTACTTCAAATGCTGTTTGAGAAGATACAAGAGGCGGCAGGTGCGGTGAGTCACGGGTGTGCGCAGCTGTTGTTTGAAGCTATGCGGGTCTCATGCTGAAGGTAACAGAAGGGGTATCGTTATTTAAGATAGCGTTCGGCGAACATAGGAGTGGTGGAATGAGCAGCAGCTTTCTGGCTTTCGCGTGCAGGCCAAACGGATCATGTCATCTTAATAACTTCGAGATCTACTCTGCCGGAGGATGCAATGTCGAAAACCTTCTCCTCTTGATGTACTACGTTTCGGAGCGCGCGATTGGTGTCATGGGGCAACATTGAACTGGCCACGACAAGGAACGTGACTGGGCGTTGCAGGGCTGAGTGCTGCAGGGAAGGACCACACCCTCCCGAGGCTCTTTGTCAAATGCGGCGAGATTAACGATATGACGCAGTATGCTGTATTGCTACCACCCAACCTGAGCTCAATATTGAGCGAAAAGAAGCCTTCAAGATGAGCATAGGAGGTTGCGCAAACCTCGAATTATGTAAGGAGAAATAGGCTCACGGAGATGGGGCCCGGGTACAATTGGCAAGAGCACCTCGGTGGTCCAGACGCGTTTCCCAGCTTACGGAGTTCTGACAACAACGACATGACGGCGGGCGATGGTCTTGTAGAAGGTGAGTCGTGCAACTCCATCCTTGAAGGATGCATTGCAGGTCTGCAGTGGTAATAGTTTACTGATTGTTTGCAGGCCTCTCGCATTTCACCACCGAGCTCCTTCGTCGAGAGCTGCAGCGCCGCCAGGAGGACGTCGAGAAACCGGAGTGCGGGTCGAAGGATGGAACGAAGCACTACAACACTGGGATTCACGTTTTCGCCTTGTTTCTTATCCTCGCCTTGAGCACGGCAGGTGCGTGTCGTCGCGGTGGACATTGCTGGCCGAGTAACTAACCGTGGGCAGCTTGCTCCTTCCCCATCGTCGTCAAGCGATTTCCTGGCATCCCCGTGCCCTCGCGATTTCTTTTTCTCTCGCGACATTTTGGCACCGGCGTGCTGATAGCCACTGCCTTCGTCCACCTTCTCCCCACCGCCTTCGAGTCCCTGACCGACCCATGTCTCCCACATTTCTGGAACGAAGGTTACCCGGCCATGCCGGGTTTTATAGCTATGACGGCCGTTTTTGTGGTCGTGGGCATCGAAATGTTCTTTGCTTCGAAGGGCGCTGGACATTCACACGCCGTTGACTACGATACCCTTGGTCAGGATAGCCACACGCACACCCGGCCAGGCCACAAGAGAAGCCACAGCTTTGGACGCTACAGCAGTGGTGCCAATGGCAATGTACCTGGTATTGTACTGCACGACGTAGAATTAGAGTCTTCGGAGCAGTCAGGCCTTATGGCTGGACGCTCTCCAGCCCTTTCCATGTCTCCCAACATATCGACTGCGCCAAACGGTCGTGCTACCCGGCGAAGCATCGACAGTGATGATGACTCAGACCTAGACATCAGTCCTGAAGAGCTCGCTAGACAGCAAGATGAGGACGATCTGGAGGATGAGTCTCAGCTGCTGTCGCATCCTCACGCGCACAAGCGTGCCCACGATGCCCGCGACCCTTCGCCCGAGACGCTTGAGAAGACAGAAGCGCAAAACAAGAAGCTGCTGTTGCAATGCCTCTTGCTCGAGGCTGGTATCTTGTTCCACAGCGTGTTCATCGGCATGGCTCTGTCCGTGGCAACTGGAACCTCGTTCATCGTGCTACTGGTGGCCATCTCCTTCCACCAGACATTCGAGGGTTTCGCGCTTGGCTCACGTATCAGCGCTATTCGCTTCCCTGTTGGATCACCGAAGCCCTGGCTTATGGCACTGGCCTACGGCACAACAACCCCAGTTGGCCAAGCAATTGGCCTCGCGATTCACACGCTCTACGATCCGTTCAGCCAGACTGGCCTGCTGATGGTAGGCTTCATGAACGCAATCTCAAGCGGGCTGTTGCTTTTTGCTGGCCTTGTGGAACTGCTCGCGGAGGACTTCTTGAGTGATGAGAGTTACGTTACACTGCAAGGCAAGAGGCGACTGCAGGCTTGCGGCAGCGTTGTAGCTGGAGCAATGCTCATGGCTCTAGTTGGCGCTTGGGCATAGACTTCGTTTCTTACATAGCAAATACATGTGCAGCTTCGCGGCTATCCTGTTACTCACTAGGCAACTACTGCGTCCACGCACACACCGTTCATGCCGTGCCTACACCTACAGTACACTACTGTTTGAGGTCGTCTCTGGTAACTATCTATCTCCCCAAGTGTCTAGTCGAATCCTCCATGGTGCAATGATAGCGTATTCGGCTGTTAACCCGTTGCAGTCATCAAGGCGGGCCTGGGGTCAGGTAAGCCTTGACCGTCTGTAACGGCCTCGCCACCAGAAGGTTGTCAGTTCGAGCCTGACTTGGGGAGTTCTTTTTGCCAGTAGTCTCGCCATCACCTCGCGTCACTGCAACACGCATGCTAGCTATCGTCCTCAGCTTCGATCTTCTTGCACCTCGCAACAAGATCACTAATATGCTTATCCCCACTCTCCTCACTCAGCCCTAACAGTGCCTTCTCGAGGTTGAACAGATACTCTCTGTTCTCTCCACTGGGCCCCTTGCTCTTGAGTATGTGCCGTGCCAGAACGTCCGGGTCTTGGGGGCCAAGAAATTGAGGATTCTCAGGCAGCCCGATGTAGACCAGGCATTTGATGGGCTCTGAGTTTGCGGCTGGGTGAAACGGCGTGAACTGTATGCTGTACCCGTTGATCTCGCGGATGTCGAGATACTCCCTGACCTCAGGAACTTTGGCGGCGGGGATGTGGTAGGCAGCGCCCCATACGCGTTCGGTAGACTCGTGCTGGTCGGTATTAGTATACGTCTTCGTTCCCTGGGGGCACCTTCGAGAAGAAGTGTGGAGGCACTCACGTGATCGGACAGCGTGTCCCAGTGTGCGCGGTCGATGAGCGTGGCTACGCGCCCGGGTGCTTCGGGTGTACCTCTGTGGTCCTCACTCCATTACATTAGGGTGCAGTCAGTCGAATGAGCTGGTATGAGATTTACCTTGCCTGTGAAGGGACTTAGTCAGATTCTCCATCATCTTGCGCAGGCTGTCATACCTGCCAAAAGCGTCGAACGTAGCCTTCGATGTAGCCGGGCACTCGCTGGTCTGCGTTGTACTGTCAGTACATCAATTCTCTACTCTTGCTTGCAGAATCGTTAGTACCAAAGTGTGGCGGTGGCTTCCATATCAGACTTCTGTACACTCGTCAGATGCGACCGTCGAGCTTGATGTATCTTTTGCAGGCATACCCGTAGCCGAACAGCCAAAAGTCATTGTTGTTTCCGAACTCCTCTATCTCTTTCTGATGTTGTGACATCTTGTTCCGTATGGGAAGTGCTCGAGTTTTCGATTCTCGAAATGTTATCTGTCAATGACGTGGGGCGTAAACAGTGGGGCATATGCAGGGCAGATTGCGGATCAATTCCGATGGCGCGATTTGATGCCATTGAGATCTACGCTGCGCAAGACAAGTGTCTACTGCAGATGCTAGGTATACAGTCAAGTGTACAGTGTCCAAGTTACATCACATTACGATCCGCCTGCTGCCTTGCTCATGAAGAAGCTCTTCAGCGGACCCATAGCGTCTACTGCCCTCAGTCCAATGCTCCTCAGTCCTACAATCGGCCCAGACTCGACGCTGTAGAGCCGGTGCAGTTTATCACACACGCCCAGCATGGCGTTGTTCTCTGCGTATCGCTCGCTGTTGTAGCTTTCAAGAGCTAGTGTAGAGCCAATGTCCTGACCAGTTCGTACAGCATGCAATATCGTCTTCACCAGAGCTGCAGCATCGCCTTGACCTTGGTTCAGACCCTGTCCTGCGAGCGGATGTATTGTATGGGCCGCGTCGCCGACAAGAGCGACTCGTTCACCAGTATATGTGTCGGCATGGCGCATGCGGAGAGGAAATCCGGCAACGGTGCCAGTCTCGACGTCGACGACGCGCATCGGTATCGCCCGTTCGTTGACGGGGGTGTGCTTTACTCGCCATGCCACCTCCTCTGCTTGTCCCTTCTCGAGGGTGTGCAGATACTCGAGATCGGTCGTCGATAGTCTGAAGCCTGCATTGACCATTGCCACAAAGTCATCTGGAGCCAATGCCTTGAGCCTAGCAGCGCGCTCCGGTGTTGTACTCCACACGAGTGTCGACTTATTGCCTGGCAGCGGAAGGAGTGCCAGAGGCCCCGAAGGCAGGAAGCGCTGGTATGCAATCTTGTGCTCGGGTCCTCCCCAACCCTGTCCTTCAATGCTGAGGCTGGCTACCACGCCAAAGCGGTTGTAATCGAATCCTCTTGACTCGATGTCGGCGAACGTCCGGACGGGACTATTTGCACCATCTGCTCCTACGAGCAACCTGGCTGCCAGGGTCTTGCCGCTCGACAATGTGAGGACAGGCCACGATGTAAAGTCCATCTTGTCCGTGTCGGTGCCCAGCTCAATCGAGCTTACTTTGGTGGAGGTAAACATATCTACGCCGCCAAGTTCTTCCAGTCGACTCAGAAGCATCGTGACGGTATTCGTGTTCTCGATCATGTATGCGATTGTGGTCGGCTGGGCAGGGTTCCGAGGCGAGAGGAGCGGGCGTGCTGTGTCCCAGTCGAAGGATATGCGCGCGTCTGTAACACCATCCCATACCTGCATCTCCTGGTATGGCTGTACTCGGGCTGCATTCACATGCTGCCATGCTCCAATCTCTATGCGCGTATTAGACGAGCCTCACTGTTCTCTCACGTTGTCTGGCGCACCTTGCAGATTCCGTACAGAAGCCGGTGTGAGAGAGCTACATCTATTCGAGAAGCTGTCTAGGCTTGCGTCTTTCGACAGCCGGTTCTTCTGGATGTCCTGACCCTCAATGAGAGCAACCTTCAACCCTCTCGTCACTGGCGATGCCTTGAGGCCCGCGAGCAAGCTGAGGCCTGCTGGGCCACCACCCACGCAGACGACATCGTAGACTTCCGGCGCGTTTGCGGAGCTCGAGGCAAACCTCCGACCAAGGCGCACTCGCACGACCCCTGCTGATCGCGCAGAGAGAGCGCGGGGTGCTCCAAAGAGCAGTCGAGGGGGCATTACGTTCTCAGGGTGCCCGAAGCATCGGCGGGCGCGATCGGTTGGGGAAGTCGAGACTTGCGGGTGGTGGTGTCATCGTGAGCCGCTGGTGTTTGCGTTGTTTGGCTGATGACATGAGATCTCGCTCATTACCGAATCGGCTGCCTTCCTGGCGCGGAAAGAGCCGCCTGCTAGCATCTGCATCCTTCGAGAACCCCAACCTTGAACCTTGGAACGTTCCTCTCCACTTCATCTTGCTCTTTACCCTACCAAGGATCGTGCATGTGACAGCGAACCGTCAAGAGGCCCGACCTGTTTATTTCAATCGTGTTCGAAGCCTCGCAAAGCGAATCCTCAGTCCACAATGCCTACTTCGACCGGTCAGGCCCACCTTGCAGCCTCACAAAAGTCGGCCTGCCAATGAGCTGCTCGCCGTTGTTTACATCCTCATTTTCCCATGGGTCAGATGTGTCGCTTTCCTCTCAGTCACGATGATACCCATTACCACGTCAGATGTACCGTTGGGCACTTGGCTTTCGTTGCACTAGCAACACTCGCCTTCCCCTCACCTTTCCCAAGGTTACAGCCGCCCAAGAGAGTTGGACTTGGTGTGTACCGTCGATGAAAATGCTGGTAAACCTCTCAATGGTCTGATAGGCTGCCAACACATCGACCTGTAATCAGCGACTCTCCGGGACCTCCTACAGACTTACTTAGACGTCTCAGAGCGCCTCCAGGCTTGCAAAGCGCAGTTCCGAATTTCTTCGATACTCGAACGATTGTCGGGACAACATGAAGCACATCTATCATGACGTCCGTGCCGACTTCGCTGTCGGGTTGGGCTGGCTTTTGTATAAATACCCACTTTAACGTGGGAGCCCTTGCAGCGAATGTCAGTGCTCGTACCAGACCAGTGCTCTGAGATTGCCATCATGAGCCTCACTGATCCTCACATGGCCGCACCCTTATGTTCAACCTTATCTCTCAATGATCTGCTCATACACTGTTCTTGCCCAGACCTGAATCGAACGATGTCGTTACCAAACGTCAAAAAGCGGCTGCGACCTTTCCGCCGAGACAGCATCAAACGACAAAAGACTGCACGTGACAGCGATACCACCCTCCAACCTAGAGTTGATCCAACATCTCCCTCTGTAGCATCGCCAGCAGCTGACGACGTGCTTTCCGGTACAGCCGGCTGCAGAACGCCCTCTCCGAGCCGAAAAAGAGATTCCTTTCAGCAATGGCTCAGTCAGTATCTGGTTGGTCGAGTCAATTACCGTGTCGATTCAGTAGTCCTCACCCCCGAAGACATTCGGAAAGAAGCCAAGCAGGTGTCAAAGGGTACAGACATTGAAGTTGCAGATCACGATGGCGAACCAGTACCAACTCATGTTATTGACGCCTTCTTTAAGTTCAACTTGGCCGGTGGGAGTGCCTGGCAGGAATCGCGGCAGTGGGAGGATCACATGGACAATTGGGAAGAGCACAAGATGCATTGCTTCAAAGGCGATTGTAGCTACTGCAGAAGGATGTGCAAAGAAGGAGAACAGCTTCCCCCGCTGTGTAGGGTTCCATCGCTACCAAGCGCACCAAAAAGCTCAGCCCTTGATTGGGATTCCCCTAAGGATCGGAAGGAATCTGAAGACAGCCACTCCCCCTTCCAAATCTGGCGACGTGGATCTCGGCATCGAAAGGAGAAGGGGAAGGAGATGGGTACAGATCAAGATCCCCTTGATAGATCGCTTGTCAGTCCTCGAACACAAGTTTCAGAGGAGCTGCAGCCGGTCTGTTCAAGAGCTGCACACGTCTTTAATGATGACATTGTCATTCAGGATCGACGTCAACGAACGAAGACTGCCCAATGCTCAATGACTACGAAGCCCATCGATCTCCGCCTAATACCCGTACCTGGGACTCGGGTATCTTCTGAGGCCTCTAACGCTCTCAATTTTTCTGATCCCTCTCAACTCACTGGCCGCCCCTACGGTGAATCTCCCCTTGAATCAGGCCTTCTGCCCTTTCCTATACCTAAGATTTCCCTGCCTCCATCGACTCCCCGGCTCAAGCCAGAGCAGCGCCTTACCCAGGTCCCAGAGCCCCTCAGGCTCGAGGAATTTTCAAGAGCATCCTCAACTGGCGCACCGTTCGACATAAGGCCACTCGCGAAGTACAACCCCAATGCCACCAGAATTGTGCGAGGAGGCTTTCCAGAAACTATCACACTAGTCAACACCTCCAACACTACCGCGCAGTCCGCTGTCAATGACCTTCTGGATCAGTACCACAAGAAAACGTCTGCAACAAAGCTGAAGAAGCGC